TGCCATGTACCTCCTTGGCATCATTAGCAAGTTGCCCCATCCCCATGGTGGGCTACAAGCATCTTGTCTGCACAGTCCCACCCAGTCGTTTGGTGGCATTGCAAGGACTGTGGCTAGAAGGGCCATATAAAGTCACTCACTGCACTGCACCCTTCCCCTCCCTGAGCTTTATCCTCCCCTCCCCATCCTGTGGAGACTGGGTGAGGGTGGAAAGGGTAGAGGTACAAAGAGAGCTCAGAGGCTGGAGAACGGGCTTCGCCCCAGGCTCTGGGTCAGCTAGACCAGTCCTGTTTACAGGCCAGGCTGCAGGGAGACCTGGGGCAGATGTGCCCTAAAGGGTCTAAGGGCCATATCCTGGCTCCCTACTTGCCTGTTGGAATCTGAGATGGTATTTTCCCAGTGAGCAAGCCTCCACTCTTTGCCCTGGTGGGGTCTCCACTGTGGCTCTCCGGTGGTGGTGGGGAGATTATCGCTGATTTATGGCCTGTTTCATAAACGCTCTCTGGGATTTCTGTGGCTCCAGACGGCTTATCTCTGCTTCGCCTTTTATCTGCTTCACTTCCTGCCCAGACTGTCTTCAAAACCCCCCCCACCCCCACCTTGGAGAACTCTTAGACCTTTCCTCCCCCTGGTCCGCCCGCCCCACCCCAACATTTATCCTGTGTGCTCTGCAGGGCTGCTGGGACGGCCGCAGCTTGCTTCCAAATAAAGCACATGCTCGGAGGAAGCCGTTGGAAACTTCCGATGCTTCTAGAAGTTTCCAAAGGCTTCCTCACAATGGCTGTCTGCCATCCAGCACTGGCCTGTGGTGGCTCAGACAGAGCAGCTACGAGTCCAAAATCGACTTGATGGCTCCGAGTTCGGTTTTGAACAGTGCTGGCTGGCTCCCTGGTTAGGGGAGGGGTGCAAACAGTTCCTTGCCCACCTGATCACTAACTGCCTGGAGCTTTGAGTCCACCCAGAGACACCTCGGAAGAAGGTCCTGGCAACCTTCTTCCGAAAAACCAGCTGTTGGGACCCCCCTACGGAGCCCCCATTCTGCCTGGCACACGAGGGGCTTTGTGTGTCAGAACGCGGCTGGTTTAGTGGGTGGACGCGTGGGCCTAAGATGCGAGGAAACGGCCCGGGCCTCTGTCCGTTTGAGAAGGCCTGTGCTCAGACATCTGTGGGTCCTGCTGCTCGCGTTCTGCAGGTGGGGCAGCTCGGGGTCAGATCTAGCGGTCTTTCCAAGGCACACACCTTGATGACCTCATCGCAGAAGTGATAACTGGTTCCTTGGATCCCCCCCTCCCAGGAGCCCACTGAGGGGTAGGAATGGGTTCCTATGTGCCTCGGGGCCCTTGGCCTGTGCCTGGCTGATGGCAGGGTAGGAATAGGAATGGGTTCCTATGTGCCTCGGGGCCCTTGGCCTGTGCCTGGCTCATGGCAGGGGGTGGGGGAGCTTGGTGTCTGTCTGAACTGAGTGCCCTGAGGGAATGAAGCACCCCAACATTCTAGATTTCCGCTTCCTCACTTCCCAGCCTGGAGGAGATGGCTTCCTTCAAATGGTCTTGGCTCTGGCAGCTCTGCCTGAAATTAACCTTCTCCTTCTTCTTCTCCTTCTCCTCCTCCTTCTCCCCCTCCTCCTTCCCCCCTCCTCTTCTTCCTCTTCCTTCTTCTCTTTCTTCTCCTTCCCTTCCTCTTCTTCTTCTTCTATTGGTTAGTTTTAGTGGCACCCAAAACCAGACTGGATGCCAACTCACGGCGACCATATAGGACAGGGTAGAACTGCCCCTTTTGTGTTTCCTAAACTGTAACAGTCTCTGAGTATGGAAAGCTCACACACGGGCCAGGGAAGAGGGGAGAACATCCGATTGAAAACAAACTGTTTCAGGGGAGGAGGAGGAGGAGGAGTTCTTGGAGAAGAGAGGAAGGACAGCTACCTTTAACCAGAACCAACTCTTGGTTGATGTCCAGAAACACAGAAATGACTAGCATCTGTTTGCCTAAATAAAGCCTTTCTTTTCCCTAAAAAAAAAAAGAAGAAAGCTCTTTCTCCCGTGGGGTGGCCGGTGCTTTTAAACTTGCTGGGTCACCACCCAATGTGTAACCACTGCGCCTGCAGTGCTCCACTTTCAGCACAGAGTCCACCTATTGTACAATTCACTAGTTCCATCATCTGTGAATGCTCTAGGGACCCAGCCCCACCCATCCAGTGTGTCCAACAAATGGGTTTAAGGGGGTGGTGGTGTCAAGGATGCATCAAAAACGAGGCCCTTGTACCCTTTGGGGTCGCCAGGAGTCAGAAGCGTGTCATGTTTTAATCAGATGTCGCGGAGGTGAATTAGGAAGACCCCAGCTGTTAACCCAAAGGTTAGTGATTCAAAGCCACCCAGTGTCTCCACAGGAGGGATGACCCCTGGTGTTGTGCCCCTGGAAAGGTGGCTAGGAAACCCTCAGGGCAGCGCCACTGTGACGCTTGGGGTCACTGTGAGATGGAGAGTCAACTCGACAGCAGCCTGTTTTCAAAAACCCAACCCAACCCACCGCCATCGAGCCCATTCGGACTCCTTGTGACCTGCAGGGCAGAGGAGAGCTGCCGCGAAGGGTTTCTGAGACTGTCCGTCTCTATGGGAACAGCCAGCCTCATCTTTCTCCTGCGGAGCCGCTGGTGAGGTCGAACCGCCGACCTTGAGGATGGCAGAACCCACGATGCCACCAGGGTTCCTCAACATACTCTGGTAGCTCCTGAGATACATTTCTGTAGGAGCTTTGGTGGCGCAGTGGTTACACGCTGGGCTGGTCACCACAAGGCCAGCGGTTTCACCGATCCAGAGAGAAGGCAGCTTTCTGCTCCTGTAGGGAATCCCAGCCTCTGAAACCCGCGGGGACAGTTCTCCTCTGTCCTGTGGGGTCGCTGTGAGTCGGAAGTGACTGGACGGATGGCAGCAAGTGTGTTTTTTCAGGAGTGTCATTCCATTTTTAAAGAGAAAAGTTGAGTGCCTAGCCTATTGAGAAGTGGGCTTGGCCCTCCCAATAAAACCCAAATCGAATCAAAACAAGACGCCCGCAGCTACTGCACCGACTCTGAGCGTGAGAGTAGAGCTGTGCTCCAGGGAGTTTTCAGTGGCTGGTTGTTCAGAAGTAGACTGCCAGCCCTTTCTTCTGAGGTGCCCCGGAGCAAACCTGAATGGCCCACCTACGGTTAGCGGTCAGGCGCCCAACCATTGGCGCCATTCCATCCAGAAGTGGGAGAGAAGATTTTGGGCATTTCTTCTAAGAAAAGATGAAGGCACTGGGCTGCTCCGGTCCCGTCGGCACCGGGCTCGTAGGACCCTGGGATCCCCAGGCGCAGGTCCCCATGAGCAAACGGAAGGCGCCGCAGGAGACGCTCAATGGGGGGATCACCGACATGCTCACGGAACTCGCAAACTTTGAGAAGAACGTGAGCCAGGCCATCCACAAGTACAACGCCTACAGAAAAGCAGCATCTGTGATAGCAAAGTACCCACACAAAATAAAAAGTGGCGCAGAAGCAAAGAAATTGCCTGGTGTAGGAGCAAAAATTGCTGAAAAGATTGACGAGTATTTAGCAACTGGAAAATTACGTAAACTAGAAAAGATTAGGCAGGATGATACAAGTTCATCCATCAATTTCCTGACTCGAGTTACTGGCATTGGCCCATCTGCTGCAAGAAAGTTTGTAGATGAAGGAATTAAAACATTAGAAGATCTCAGAAAACATGAAGATAAATTGAACCATCACCAGCGAATTGGGCTGAAATATTTTGAAGACTTTGAGAAAAGAATCCCTTGTGAAGAGATGTTACAGATGCAGGATATTGTGCTGAATGAAGTTCAAAAGGTGGATTCTGAATATATCGCTACAGTCTGTGGCAGTTTTAGAAGAGGCGCAGAGTCCAGCGGCGACATGGATGTTCTCCTGACCCATCCAAGCTTTACCTCTGAGTCAGCCAAGCAGCCCAAACTGTTGCATCGAGTTGTGGAGCAACTACAAAAGGCCCATTTTATCACAGACACTCTGTCCAAGGGTGAGACGAAGTTCATGGGTGTCTGCCAGCTTCCCAGTAAAAATGATGAACAAGAATACCCACACAGGAGGATCGATATCAGGTTGATACCCAAGGATCAGTATTACTGTAGTGTGCTCTATTTCACTGGCAGGGATATTTTTAATAAGAACATGAGAACGCATGCCCTAGAAAAGGGCTTCACAATCAACAAATACACAATCCGCCCTCTGGGAGTCACTGGCGTTGCTGGAGAACCCCTGCCAGTGGATAGTGAGAAAGACATCTTTGACTACATCCAGTGGAAGTACCGGGAGCCCAAGGACCGGAGCGAGTGAGGCCTCTCCTCCCTCCTCAGTGCAGCTCGCAGCGTCTTAATTTATTCCTCCCCTTTGCTACATGAGGGTCTCTGGTGGTCTTAGGGACTGGTTCGTCCTCGGCTTCGGCCTGCGTTGCAGTCAGTGAAGGCTCATGGACCACTGTCAGACGAAGCTGTTCTTGTTTTCCCAGCAGTGTCTGCACTTGGAACCCAGTGGATTCAGGGTCACCTGCATGAAGGTCTAGTCGAATGAAATAAAGAAGAGCTGAACTGGAAAAAAAAAGAAAAGATGAAGGCGTTGTGTTTGGCTAACCGTTTGCCTCTGTCTCCCTCCCCCTTAGCTAAAATTCCTGAGGGCGAGGAGGAGCAAGAGGACCCATATTTAAATGACCGCTGCAGAGGTGAGAAGCGAGCACCCCGCCCCTCAGGCTGAGCAGGGGTTCATTAACCCTGAGTGGAAGTTGACACTGGTCTTGTGTCTCGGGAGTGGACCCTTGGTGGCTTGGCTTTGGTCTGCCCTGGGAAGTGCCCTTTGGTTGAGGGTCATGGCTATCCATTGGTCACTCTGGGCTCCTGCCTTCTTCCCGTAGCATCTGGGAGCTGGGGCCTGGTGGGAAGGGCTGGTGAGGAAGGGGTGAGTACCACGCTGGCCTGAGGAGTCCCAGCACCAGCCATCATGTTCCACTAGTTTCTCCCAGGGTGGAGGGACCAGTCACTGGGCTTTGTGACCCTGAGCCCAGGAGCGCCTGACACAGGGAGGGCGCTCAGTAAGGTTCCTGTGGCCAGAGATCCAGGTCCAGTGTAAAGTCCCAGGGCCTTGAAGCCCCAGTTTTCCTGTGAAGCTCTGCTTTTCTCCCACCGACCAGTCCTGCCTGTTCAGACAGGTTTGTCTTTGCCACGTTCATTCCGAGACTCGCCCACTGGTGGGCAGAGGGTTGTTGGGATCAGCAGGGATCCTGCACCCAGCCCTGGGAGGGGATGGGTAGCAGGGAGCCCCAGACAGTGCTGCCCTGACAGGAGGCCAGGAGGAGGGCTTTCAGGAACGGAGGCACTGTCTCAATGTCTTATAGACCAGACGTTCACACCTGGGTGTTGGCAGGTTGATTAGATCCTGGGGTTCCGAGGGAGAAACTGCCCCTGCCCAGGGCTCCCTCCCCTGGCGCTTTAGGTGTCAGCGCTTTAGGTGTCAGTGTGTCTTCCCCTCAGGGCCCCACACCCCTCCTGCCCCTTCATTAGGCCCCCAGCAGGAGGGATCAGGGCCCACCTTTCCAGGACCTCTTTACCCGTTCAATAACAGGCTACCTTCTGCTTCGAATGTTTGGTTGATGTTGATACCATGCATTTTTCGTAACGGAAGAATGTACTTGAAAAAAAAAAAGTTTTTTAGGTAATGGGATTTTGGCGCAGTAGGTGGAACATGTGTGTGAGGAGGGGGGGGATGGAGTCTCTGATCGGGGAATGGGGGAATGAGAACTGTTTCTTTTCATGCTTGCTTTCTTTTTAAAAAACAGATTTATTGACACCAAATCATCCAAATATCATACAACTTGGTAGCTTAGTTATATCAAGAAGAGTTGTATAATCATCACCACGGTCAATTTTAGAACATTTTCTTCTTTCTTCGATTCATTGTTATTAGCTCCCCATTTCCCCTATCCTCACTTGCCATTACCCCCAAGAAACCATTAATCTAGTTCCCATCTCCAGAAAACATACAAACACAGCTAACAACAATAGCAAAGTAAAATAGAAAAACTTCAATCAGTAAGATAGCAGGAGCTATTAAAAACTAAAACAGATTTTAAATGGGTCAAAAGAGACCCTTTTCTTTAGTTCACAATTATATAAATGCCTACCAGTTGGCAGTGTGCATGGAAAGTGGGAGATAGGCATCCCACTAAACCTCAGAGCCTGAAACTGTAGGTGGGCACTATATGTCCCATTAGTCAACAAAAGGGTTAACTGATAATATGTTCAAAAACAGACCCTATTTTGCTCTAACAAGATCACACTCACCGGTCCAGGGGCAAGGATCTCAACTTAGCTTTTGGGAGGGGAGCACGGTTCCACTGGTAGCAGCCTCATGTTCTTCTCTGGGGACCCTCATGGAGGGGCTTCCTGAGGGAGCTGTTACAACAGTTGAGGATTAACCAGGAAGTATAGGGAAAGGGGGTGAAGCCACAGAGAACTAGTGGTCAGTGGGGGTAGGAGGTGGCCTTAATGGCCCGGGCAGCCATTGGGAATGTAACAACCCACTCCCCCCAGGGAAACTATGTGGTAGAGGTTTATCACATGGACATCCCAGATACCTCATAGGGAGAGTGGCCTGAGGGCGTGAACCAGGGAGACTGGGGGAGACTCCGGGCGTTTCTCCCCGGTGCACCGGAGCTAAGGAGCTAAGGCACGGGTAGTGGCAAGGCAATACAGTCACTGCTTGAGAGATTTGGGGAGAGGCAGGGCCTGCTCCGGGCCTGGTCTCATGGGGGTGGGATACTGTCCCCTGCTGGCCAGCAGTCCTTTCTTCTCCACCTCCCATGGCCTCAGAACTCACAGACCATCCTGCGCCCCCCATGCTATCACCCAGCGCTGGCACTGACCCTACACACCAGAGGACCTCCTGCAGGGCAGGGACTGGGTAGTCGGTGGGTGAAACCCACTTTCCTGCTTTCTCTGCTTGGGGTGGTGGGGGCTGGAGAGGATGCCTCCTGCACCCCACTCACACGCTCTGTCCGCAGGCGGTGGGCCCTGCAAACAGCAGTGTCGAGACTCGGGGGACGAGGTGGTCTGCTCTTGCTTTGTGGGCTACCAGCTGCTGCCCGACGGCGTCTCGTGTGAAGGTCAGTCCCTGCTGCCCTGAGGTTCGAGCAGGGTCCTTGTGAGGTGGGGGACCACCCAGGACTGAGGGTCTGGCTGTCCTGGAAGAGGGCAGGAATTGGGCTCAGAACGTGTTCTGTGTCTAGGGTCAGCAGATTGGCCCTGGGCAAGTCCCCTAGCCTCTCGTCTCCAATGGGTGTCCCCTTCCCACTGGGCTTGTTGAGGGTCTCGTGAGCCCAGGCTATGGGTGGGTGCTCAGTTGGCGAATCCCCAGCACCCTCTCCAGACACAGCTTGCGTGTGCTGCAGCGGGGTCCCAGCTGGGTGGAAGCCAGCCCCCGCCACCCTACACCCTCGCCTCCCACCCCCTGAGCTCCGGCCAGTCCCAGGAGCTGCAGAGGGATCCCACTTCCTGTTGTTGACCGCTGACCATTCTGCTCCCTCCCAGACGTAAATGAGTGCATCACGGGCACGCACAGCTGCCGGCTGGGCGAGACCTGCATCAATACCGTGGGCTCTTTCCGCTGCCAGCGGGACAGCAGCTGCGGGACAGGCTATGAGCTCACGGACAACAACGACTGCAAAGGTGAGCAGCGGTCGCAGCACCCCCACATCTGCAAGAGTAGGTGTGGGGAGCGGGGTTGACCGGCGGCGGGTGCTGGTGGTGCTGCGTCCCATGTGGCTGCCATGGCTCATCGGTGTTTGCTGCCAGGTGGCCGGTCCCCTGACTCATATTGACCCTATGAACAATGGCACCAGTTGTCATCTGCTCCCATGCCATCCTTGGGATTGGCAGCAGATGAGACTATGGTGATCTGCCCAGGACCCTCTGGGGGGTGGAGTGGTGCACCTGGTCAACTTGCTCCAAAGAGCATACCAGACCCAGAGGCACCGAAGAAAAAAGAGCTGGCTATCCGGTTGGGAAAAGCCAGCCGTTGGGCTCCCTGGGGAGCAGAGCGCTAGCCTGACACATGGGATTGCCATGAGCCTGGGTCAGCTTGCCTGGCAGCTTGTCTCTAGACCTGCTTGGGTGGGTGTCAGGGGTGCAGATTGGTGGGTGGCGGGGTGGCAGGGTGAGAAAGCAGGTACGGGCCCATAGAAACGATCAGGACACTGGGAAGCCGAGAGCAGGCCCCGCCCCGGCTAATTCTGTCCTTCATGCCAAGTGGCTAATTGGAGTTTCTGGAAGCGCCTCAGTGCACGGTGATGTAAAAGCAACGCCGAGGATGAATGTGGGGAGCCCATGTGCTCTTTCTTCCCAGAGAGGAAGAAACAAAACCACCCCAAACACAGGTCTCTGTTTGTGCCACAGCTGCCTTCCGTCTGATTGAAGTTCAAAGCATCTTTGCTTCCCCTGTCTTAAAAACACATAAAATCCGGGCATTTCTGGCTGCCGGCCTGTCTGCCTGCCACTGCCAGGACCCAGGCGTTGACTCGGGGTGAAGGCTCTAATGTGGATCCTGCAGAACAGGGGTGGGGAACCTTTTTTCCCCTGCCATTTGGATGTTTATAACATCATTCGCAGGCCACACAAAATTATCAACTTGGAAATGAGCCCACTCTCTCTGGGCCAACATTTCATGAACTCAGCCCTAAAGTGCTGGCTGAAACCGCTTCTCTTTGGTGAGGTGTGTGATGTGAGCTGGTGTCCATCATCTCTCTGGCCTTCTATGGCTTGTGGGCCAGATGTGTCCCACCTCATTTTAGAGCATGGCTTTCTGCCTTTCTGCAAACCCACGGTGTGAAAACGTTGCTCAGAAGCCCGGGCAGCCAGGCCCTTCTGATAGCTGTGGGCTTTCAAGTGGCGTCCATTCAACCCAGCAGCTCTGGTGGCATCGTGGGTATATATTGGGCTGCGATCTGTAAGGTCAGCAGTGTGGAACCACCTTGGGAGAAAGACCAGCTTTCTACTCCCATCAACAGTGACAGTCTCAGAAACTCACAGGGGCAGTTCTACCCTGTCCTATGGGGTGGTTCCCCGCACACCCCCCCCTCTCTATTCATTCTATGCCTGTGGGCTTTGAACTTTGAGAAGCCGGTTGGCCAAGCCAACTGAGACTCCATCATTCGAATGTTTGACATCATGAACTTCAAGGGAAGGCAGCCTGGTCTTAATCTGAAGAGCAGTCCTCGCTGTTCATATTTGGAATATCGTGAAACTTCCAAATGAAGGCGCATACAGGGGCCGGGTTTATTGCCACTGAGACAGTTTTTTGATGCTCTAAACATAGCCCTTAGCTGGCAGCGACAAAACCCACATCTGCCAGGGAAGTGCCTGGGCTACTTATTCTGTCAGCAGAAAGAGAACCCCCGGAGGGATCAGGAGACAGGCACCAGTTATGTCTTTAGCAACGTGGACTTGAACTGGTTAGTTTTGAGCTGTCTAGTAGGGGATTGTCTGGGACTCTGAGTAAATGAGCATTAAAACAAAAATGTGTGTGATTTTAAAAGTGTTGTACGATGCTTCTGGCAGGATGCTTGCTAACCGTTTCCTTTTTTTATGATGTACCAGATATTGACGAATGTGAGAGTGGTATTCATAACTGCCTCCCCGATTTTATCTGTCAGAATACTCTGGGATCCTTCCGTTGCAGACCCAAGCTACAGTGCAAGAATGGGTTTATACAAGATGCTCTAGGCAACTGTATTGGTAAGGCGCCCCACTGCCGGGCGCAAGGGGGCTGCAGGGTGGTTGGTGGTCCAGCCGGGCCAGCCAGCAGGCTCTGCCTCGAGCGGGTCAGGGGTAGCACAGGACACAGAGCAGGGCCAGATGAGAGGTATCGTGGGACTTGCACGATGTCGATGTCGGGTGCCAAATTTCTCAATGTGGCTGCCCCAAGACAGAAAATATAAATAAACACACGGGCCAGGCTCTGGGCCAATAAAAAAAAAACAGGCCGTGAGCTGTATCTGGCCCAAGGGCCATTGTTTGCTAATCCTTTGCACAGATGAACAGAGCCTCGGTGGTGCAGGGGGTGTAGCCCTTGGAAGGCTGCTAGCTGAAAGGGTGGAGGTTTAGCCCGCTCAGCCGCTCTGTGGGAGAAAGGCCTGGTGATCCGCTTCTACGATCACAACCCAGAATTCCCTATGGGGCAGTTCTACAAGGTGACCTAGGTTTGATGTGAGTCGGAACTGACTCCAGGCACCAATCACAATATTCACCAACGAGAGCCTGGGTGGTGCCAACAGCTAACACACTTGCCGCTGTGGTCGGCAGTCTGAATTTTCCCAGAGACACCCCAGAAGAAAGGCCTGGTTATCTGTTTGCTGGAAAGCAGGCACTGGCGAGTTTGTGTAGCCAGTCCTCCTCCTATACTTGTGGGGTGGCCATGAGTTGTCGAGCTGAAAGAGCTTGCATTCTGGAGCCAGCAGACGCCTGGTTTTGAACCGGAGGACCTAGGTGCATTTCCTTTCCCTCTCTGAGCTTCCTTCTCCTCCTCTGTCAAGTGAGGCCAGCCGTTCCCTGGCGGACCATCCTTACTCCGCAAGATGTAGAGCATCTAGGTCAAGAGGAGCCAGTTCCCTGTCGTCAGCTATCTTCAGGCTGTTAAAGAAAGGGTTTGAAAAATACAAGGGTGATGTCAGAGGGCGTTCGGTGGGAAGGAGCGAGCGATGTGCAGAACCGTGGGTGAGCCTGGCCAGGGAGCAGCTGTCCTTCCTGGGGTCATTCAGGCTAGCCACCTGGCTTCACCTTGGTTTGGTGCCAGCATTTGGGTCCAGACTTGTCAGCCCTTCCTTGCCCTCTGCTTGGCAGAACCTGCTCCTGACATCAGAGAGCCTCTTCTGACCCCACAGGCAGGCCCCCTTAAAAGGCCGCCGTGTCCCTGGTACTGCTCATCTCTTTCTTATTCAAGAGGGCTCAGCCTTTCAGAGGTCAATGCCAGTTGTCCGGTGCTGTCCATTCGCCCACTTGGTTCTGAGTCACAGTGGCCCCGTGTACAGTGGAGCGAAGCATGGCCTAATCCTGCGCCATCCTCTCGAGTATTACGTTTGAATCCACTGTTGCAGCCACTGTGACTGTCCGTCATTGAGGGTCTTCCTCTTTTACACTGACCTTCCACCAAGCACGCGGTCCTTCTCCAGGAAGCGGTCCCTCCAGATACGATGTCCAAAGTACGTGAGGCGAAGTCTCGCTCGCCTCACCTTTAAAGAGCCTTCTGGCTGTACTCCTTGCAAGACAGATTGCTTTGTTCTGCTGGCAGTCTATGGTCTTTGCAATCATCTTTGCCAGCCCCATAGTCAAAGGGCCCTGGTGATATAATGGGTCGGCAGTTGGAAACCACTAGGGAAAGAGGAGACTTTCTACTCCCTTAGCGAGTGACCATCGCAATCACCCACAGGGGCATCATGAGTCAGAACTGGCTCAGTGGAAAGGGAGTTTTTTCAGCCTTTCCTATAAATCTTTACTGATCTTCTACTACAATGGAAGTTTGTGTTGAAATCACTTTTTTCTCTTTTCACATAGATATATTTTTCATGGGAAACCTTGGCATCTTTTCATTTTAACGTTTCTTCAAATGTTTTGAAGCATCCCACGAGAAATGGGTCAAGCAGCACATACGTCAACAATTGTGAGACAGCCAATGCGGTGGTGCTGACTGCATGTGTGACGTCACGCATCCGGTCTCCATGCCCTGTGCCAAACTCTTCCACCACCGGGAAGCCAACCCCCTGGCCCCCAGGCTTCCCGTCTGACTCTTGAGTGGCTGCTGTCAGTGGGTTCCATGTAGACAATTCTTTAAGAGAGCCCAGGCAGGTGGTGGTGCCCTCGGGTGCCGTCAGTCCGTTGCAACCCATAGCAACCCTCTGCGCCACGGGAACGAAACACTTCCCTTCCCTGTGCCATCCTCACCTCGTTGTTATGTTTCAGCCCCTGGTTGCAGCCACCGTGTCAGTGGTCTTCCTTCCTGTAGCTGGCCCTCCCCCACTTTACCAAGCCTGACGTCCTTCCCCAGGGACTGGTCTGTCCTGACAGCGTGTCCAAAGCACGTGAGACACGCATCGCCGTCCTTGCCCCTCGGGAGCTCTCTGGTTGTACTTCTTCCAGGACAGATCTGTTTGTTCTTTTGTGGTCCGTGTTGCTTTTTGTATTCTTCTCCAGCGTCATTGTTCAAGTGCATCGGTTCTTCGTCGGCCTTCCTTATTCAGTGTCCAACTTTCACCGGCATAGGAGGCGATGAAAATCCCGTGGCTTGAGTCACGTGGCACCTTAGTCCTTTGGCCCTTTTGCGATGGGCTTGTTTCATTCAGGATTTCAAGGTTCATTCACGTTGTGTTTTTCAGAGCTTCTCTTTAGGGTATGCCGTCATATGAGTATGTTGTTGCTTGCCATTGGATCGAATCCGACCCATGATGACTCTCTAGGACAGGGTAGAACTGCCCCAGTGGGTTTCTAAGCCTGTGTAATCTTTATGGGAGCAGCTCATGGGTGCTTAAGGTCACCACTTCTATAGGACTAGGAAGCCCCATATGACCTTTCGCTCACTGAGGACATCTCCATAGGCCCAGTTTCCAAACAGGGTCACGCTCATAGGGAGAGGGACCAGGACTCTACCATACCTTGTCAGCAGATAATTTGATCCATCACAAGACTGCAGGGTGGCATGGGAATTGCTGGGTCCAGGGAGACGACTGAGCGTCCTAAGGGCTTGTGACAGGGCTGGGACTCAGAGCGAGGAGGTGGGGGGGGGCTTGATGAGCATTGTAGAAGGGCAGAGAAGTCCGGCAGGCCAGTCTGTGTTGATTGCTGGGGAGAGTGGAGGTGTTTCAGCGTTCAAAGCAGGCGGAGGGGCCAGAGAGGTGCAATATAAGGAAGCCAGCTGGCGAAGCTGCCCTGTGGCCTAGGGGTATGGGCCCCGTGTGTAGAGAGGAGAGGACCTGCCTACTGGCTTCCAGAGCCCCCCCCCCCCAAAACTGACCTTGACATCCCGTCTCCTTTCCCACTGCAGATATCAATGAGTGCTTGAGTATCAGTGCCCCCTGCCCTGCCGGGCAGACGTGCATCAACACAGAGGGCTCGTACACGTGCCAGAAGAATGTGCCCAACTGTGGTCGAGGCTACCACCTTAATGAGGAGGGCACCCGCTGTGTCGGTGGGTCTACACTTTCAAACTCTGGGGTCCTGGCACACACACCCTGCTCCTGGGACTCCAGAGGAGAGCCCCCCCAAACCGGCCATCCCCACTGGTCCATCCCGTTCACGTCCAATCCCCAAGCAGAGGCCTTTATTGTGTCTTGCCTGGACCGGTGCAGTCGAAGCACAGCCTGTCCACAGCCTCCAGCCTGGCACCCTGCAGGCACATGGGGGCCTCCTGAGCTCCCCACCCAGTGCTGGCTGCCTGGCGGCCACAGAACACAAACCCAGGCAGTAGTAAGAGTCCAGTCCTCCCGAGCTGGCTCCTGATGCACAAACCTCATCACCAGACTTTGCATGGTTTTCCCCTTATTCCTGTGGTGACACCGTGGTGAAGTGCTTGACGGCAAGGTTAGCAGTTCAAATCCACTCAGCCGTTCCACAGGGCCTGGTAATCACCTCCATAAAGACGCCCCACCTAGGAAATACTGTGGGCAGTTCTAGTCTCTCATGGGGAGCCAGGACTTACAATGGACTTGACCTCAGTGGGTTTGGTTTTGGGGATCAGCTGTTAATCAAAAGGTCATGGTTTGAACCTATCCTCCGGCCCTGCAGGGGGAAAAAAAAAATGTGGCTATGTAAAGATTAACTCTCTCTCACACACACACACATACACACACACACACACACACACACACACACACACACACACACACACACGCTGTCAAGTCCCTACAGACCCAGTGACCCTACATAGGGTTTGTGAGGTCGTACCTCTTTACCAGAGCACACAGCCTCATGTTTGGACCTCAGAGTAGCTAGGGGGTTCCAAATGCTGACCTTGAGCTTAGCAGGCTGGGAAGTCACCCACCATATGACCAGGTTTCCTGGGAATCCCTGTGACGCAGATCTACTCATTCACATGGCCTTGATTCGAAGTCACTCCCCACACAAGCCCCGCCTTTCCCCTGTGTGACCCTCAGCCTGAAACCTGCCCCACCTGTTCCCATGTATCTTGGGGTCCACGGCGGAAGCATCCTCCACCACCCAGCTGACCCCATGTCCTGTCTCCAGAACCTGTCCTCTGAACGAGAGTCAGAGCTGAGGGGCTGTGGAGCATGGGTTGGGTCCCCAGGGGAAGGGGCTTCGTCCCCAGAGGGAGGAGCAGGGGCTTCCTCCGGGCAGTGCTATCTCCCGGCATGGGGCCCGCACACAATGGGTGCCCCACGAAAGCGGAGCGGAGGGAGGGAGTGGTGCCCCTCTCTTGTGCGGGTGTAAACGTGTCTGTCCCCTGTGCAGATGTGGACGAGTGTGCGCCGCCCTTGGAGCCCTGTGGGTCGGGGCACCACTGTGTGAACACCCCGGGGTCTTTCCACTGTGACTGCAAGTCTGGTTACTATTTTGAAGGCATCAGCAGGACATGTGTGGGTACGTGGCTGGCCTGCAGGCCTTCTTAGGGCTAGGGTGCCCCTGCCGAGTGTGTGGTGCCCCTGCCAAGGACATGGGTATTCTAAAGGCCTTGTTAGGGTCTGGGGAACCTGTCTGGTAGTGAGCATCCTGCAGGCTTCCCTGAGAACTGGGGTGCCCCTGCCAAGTATGTGGGTGCCCTGCAGGCCTTCTTAGGACCTGGGGGGACACATCTAAGGGTGTGGGTATCCTGAAGTTTTCCCTTTTGTTCCTGGGCATTCTCGTAGGCCTCCAGGAGCCTGGGGACCTAGCTGGGTGGGTACCAACGAGTCTTGGCTTAGGGTACCACAGCCGAGTGGCCCTCAATGCTGGGCCCTTCCTTGTCCTTGCCTCAAAGTCCCGAATGCAGGCAGCTACCTGGGAAGAACTGTCTCCCTTCCAGGTGTGGCTATATCCACCTGGTCTGAGAACCTCCAGGAGAGGGGCACCCCTCTGGACCTAGCCTATCTCCCCAAACCAGGAATCCCTGGATGGGTAGGGGCTGGCCCTGGCTGATCCTCTTCTCACCAGTGTTAGGACAGGCTGGCATGCTTGCCCAGGTGCTCTGATAGGGGGTGGGCAGGCCGGCCAATGGGGTGTGCTCTGGCCACTCCACGGCTTGCTTAGTTTGGGGGCAGTCATTTGCAGGGGAGGTGGGGCTGCAGCCACACGGGCTGCCATTCTGGGATGGGTCTGGAGCCCCCTCTTCTGCTTGCAGACATCAACGAGTGCCGACGCTACCCTGGCCGCCTGTGTGGCCACAAGTGCGAGAATACACCCGGCTCCTATCACTGCAGTTGCACGGCCGGCTTCCGGCTAGCCGCAGATGGCCGCTCCTGTGAAGGTGAGGGCGGGCGGAGCCGGGAAGTGGGGGCGGGGCTAGGGGCGTGGGCGGAGTTTGAAGTGACGCATAGGTCCATGGAGGTGGGGGGCGTGGCCAGGGCACAGGTGGGGCCAGTTTTATGAAGAGCAGGGCTACCCCGTGAGGTACCTGTCAGCCAGTTAAGGTGAGGGCATCCCATAGGGTGCCCTGGAGGATGGACCCTTTCTTACCCCCACCCAGTGTGCCGAGCTGCTGTCCCCTGAGCAACCCCCCCACCTCCTAGTAAGTGGAGCGGGTGCACCTGTTTCCTTCCGCCGTGGCCCCAAGTGTGTCAGTGTGGTATCTAGTCGATTCCTACTTGTAGCGACCGTACAAAAGAGCAGAATTGCCCCCGTGGGTTTCAGAGACTGTAAATTATTGCGGGAGGAGAAAGCCTCATCTTTCTCCCTCAGAGCACCTGGTGATTTTGAACTGCTGTCCTTGTGGTTCTCAGCCCATTGCATACCCATTACACCACCACCAGGGCTTCCTCTTAGCCACAGGGTGGATATTTCAGGGGGTGCAGACCTCGTGCAGATGTTGAATCGCACACCAGCTACAGGTCGGTCATGTGCACCGGCATGGGCGGGGCTGCAGCTGATGTTAGGTGCCATGAGCCTGGTCCGACTCTTAGTGCCCCTCTGCACAGCAGAACGAAACGCTGCCTGGCGCTGGGCCATCTCACAATTGCTGTCTGAACCCATAGTTGTAGTCACTGTGTCCATCCATCTCATCAAGGGCCTTGCTCTCTTTCGCTGCCCCTGGACTTTACCAAGCGTGAGGTCCTTCTCCAGGGACTGGTCTCCCCTGACCACACGTCCAGAGTACAGGAGACAAAGTCTCTCCATCCTTGCTTCTAAGGAACATCCTGGCTACTTCTTTCAAGACAGATCTGTTTGCTCTTTGGGAAATCCGTGGGCTCCAATCACAGTGGGTAGAAATACGGTGGGGTGGGGGCTAGATTGGGCCCGACCCCTGCCCCAGGCACGGGAAGAGGTGATCCTCATCCCCAGGGTGTGAGGAGGAGGAGCCTTGATGTCCCAGCCAGGACTTAAAGGGCCTCCTTCAGTCCTGCCTTCCGCTGAGGAAGTGTGTGGGCGGATTGAGCGGGGCAGGGCTAGACTTCTTAGCGAAAGGATTGCTCACTCTGGGATCTGAGGCCAACTGGGGGCTTGGTGGAAGATAGGTGGTGAGGGAAGGGGGGAAGATGCCACACTTCACTTACTGGGCATGGAGCCAAGTCACCTCGGGGTGGCCTCAGGCAGGACCCGCTTCTCCATGTGAAGTGTGTGTTCACTTGAAGGGCAAGGTGGTGGTGGTGGGGTCTCAGTCTCGTAGTGTTACTGCACTAACAGAAGTACCACAGAACTTTTTTCTCTCATGGTCCAGGAGGCGCCACATTCAAATTCAGGGGTCGGCTCTAGGGAAGGCCCTCTCTGTCCACACTGGGGGAAGGTCCTTACCTCAGCTTCCCTCTGGCCTGCCTTCTTCATTCCTGGGTGGTCCCCACAGGGTGTCTGTGTTTGCCTGTCCCTGCTTCTAATCTGCTCTCTGTCTACAAAATGATTAGGTTTCGGACCACCCCCACTTTAATACAGGAGCCCTGGTGGCACAGTGGTTACGAGTTGGGCTGCCAACTGCAAGGTCAGCAGTTTGAAACCACCAGCGGCTGCTTAGGAGAAAGACAGGTTTTCTACTCCCGTAACAAGTTACAGTCTTGAAACCCACAGAGGCAGTTCTACTCCGTCCTAGAGGGTCGCAGTGAGTTTGGCTTTTTTGAATTGCCCTGATACAGCTGTATCAGCTTCAGAAGGAAATTCCTTTTTCCAAATGAGATGGCAGCCCCAGGGTTAGGGGTTAGGATTCCTACCCGCCTTTGTGTCCTCCATTGCTGGGCCACAATACCATCATCACCAGGACAGTCTGCCCTTGCCCCGTTGGCGTGTTCTGGCTGCTGGGAGGCTGGGATGTCAGCCCCGGCTGTGAGGGTGACCTTGGGGGCTGCCCCCTCTCTTTCAGACGTGAATGAGTGCCTCAGTAACCCCTGTAGTCAGGAGTGTGCCAATGTCTACGGCTCCTACCAGTGCTACTGCCGCCGGGGCTACCAGCTCAGCGATGTGGATGGCGTTACCTGTGAAGGTAAGGGTGCCCCCTGTGGGTGGGAGGGCGCTCCTCGGGCCTTGCTCCCCCACACTGATACGTCCTTGGGCCTGAGTGCCCCCCTGCTTCCCACCCTTCCAGACAAGTTGGTGTTTAGGGTTACCTCTAGCTAAGGTTTCTCGGGATACACTTGAACTACTGTTGAGTGAGGTTTGGAAAGAAGCAATTCACCCCCTGGTTTTTTCCCTAATAAACATGGAGCCCCAGTGGTGCATGGGTGTGTTAGACTGGGCGGATTAGAGAAACAAATTCATTGACACACTCATATGTGTGGTTTATATACAAGGGCAGTTGAGTATTGAGCAAACATCCTAGCCCAGCCCAGATAAAGTCCATAAGTCCAATATTAGCCCATATGTCTGATGCCAATCTATAAAGTCCTCTTCAGACTCACGAAACACATGCAATGACGCTGAGTGCAGGACGACCCCAGGCCAGCGGGTGCAAAGGCAGTGGCTGTAGAAGCATCTCAGCACTGGCAGGGTCTCCATGTGGCTCCTTCAGTTCCCAGCGCTGCATCAGGGTAGGTCCAGGTGCCTTCTCCTCAGGGATGTTTCTCAGTAAGTGAGCCAAGAGAGAGTCTCTCCTGCCTCCAAGGAGGAAATCCAGGAGTTCCCAGAATTCTCAGGAGAAGGCCATGCCCACACAGAGGCCTCATTGGCTATGACCCGATTGACAGACTAGATCCCACCCCTTCACTCTTAATCCTCTCAAGTCCCAAATTGACTCCAGATTATGTAACTACCACAATGGACATGACTCAGTTTCCCTTCTGAGGGTCTCCGGAGCCGAGCTCTCAGGGGTGGGTGGTGATGTGGGGCCAAGGGCTGCAGGGCTCAGAGCCACTCAAAACTCGGCTGCTAAGCACCACCCATGTTTAGGTTTTGGCAGCTCCTCCCCAGACATAGGGCTCCCTGGTGACAGAGCTAGCTAGGCACTGAGCTGCTAACCCCAAGGTCGGTGGTTCGAATCCACCTACTGCTCCAAGGGAGAAAGACGAGGCTGTCTACTCCCGTAAAGACTTAGGGCAGTTCTTCCCTGTCCTGTAGGGTTGCATCGAGTGGGAAAGGATAAGACAGCAGTGAGTTAGAGTTTGTCCTCAGACCTGAGCCACCAGTTCCTTCTCTCTCACATGGGCTGTTAAAGGAAGCCCTGGTGGCATAGTGGCTACGTGTTGGGCTGATAACTGCAAGGTCAACAGTTGGAAACCACCAGCCGCTCCTCAGAACAAAGACGAGGCTTTCTACTCCCATCAAGAGTTACAGTCTCAGCAACCCACAGGGGAAGTTCTGTCCTGTCCTGTAGGGTCCCTAGGAGTCGGGATCAGCTCGATGGCAGTGAGATGTGCTTTTGAGTGAACATGGGGCGTTAACCCAGACCCACCAGGTTGTTGGAGGGTTGATTAGAATAATGTGTTAAAAGCTGTTTTCATGCTTAAATAGCAACTATTAGGATGATTGGAAGTTATTGTTTTTTTTCCATAAAAATGAATTTCGGTTGTTGCTGTTGAAAATGGACACAGCAGAACATACACCAAGTCAAGTTCATTGGTGGACAACTCAATGACACTGAGGACCATCTTCAGGCTGTGCCTCCAGCCTCGCCCTCCCGCTCCCAGTCGGCACACACGCCCTGCCTGCCCCCCAGGTTCCCATCGAACCTTTCCAGTTGCTATTGTCTGACGGGTCCCACGGAGACAGCTCTGTAAAGTGCTCAGTGTGCAAGGCAGACGGGCTTTCCGTTAGCGCTGCTTTTTGTGTCGTGTGTTAGCAGTTGATATGGTTGTGTATGTGGTCAAGGATACGTAATTCAACATTTGCCGAGTCAACATTTTTAAGAATAGTTTCATGTATATCATTCCCATATTGTACAATTTAATGTTTAATCATATTAAGGAAATTTGTGCAACCAGTAAAATCAATTTCAGAACAATTTTCTTCTTGTACTAGTGGTTAGCTCTCCATTTTCCCCATCCTCCCCTACCCTGTCCCTAGTGGATCATCAATCTAGTTAATGTCTCTATTCCAGATTTCATATACTGTATGTATGAAGCACAAACAGGAAGTAAACAAACACCAACGACAGTGACTAGACAAAACATAGGAAAACCTCAAGTGAAAAAAAACAGAAAATATGAAAAAACCGGAACAACTTTAAAAATGGGTCAAAAGGGAGCTCAACGGATGAGATATAATTTTAACCTGACCACATCTGCCATAATCAGTGCTTTTCTAATGCTCTCGGTCGGATAGCAGGGCTATTCACATCCAAGGACTATGTTTAGAGGGGATTCACCAGAGGCTCAATTCATAGAGGGACCCTGCAAGTGGATTTTGGGCTTCCAATGTCATAGCCTTCTGCAAGCTACCCTATTTCCCCGAAAAGAAGACAGTGTCTTATGTTAATTTTTGCTCTCAAAGATGCACTAGGTCTTATTTTCAGGGGATGTCTTATTTTTCCATGAAGAAGAATACGGTACACATTTATTGTTTTATTAAAAGAGACCTCACACTTCCTGTCTGCTCCGGCTGTGCTGCGGCCAACAGTGAGCTGCGCAGGGGCGCCCGCCGCTACGGTCCAGAGTACAGAGTTATGGTAGCTTTTGGGGGGCCTTATTTTGAGGGAGGTCTTATTTTGGGGGGGATGCCTTACTTTCGGGGAAACAGGGTAGATGTCCACAATTTAAGCTCTGAAACCATTCCCTCCTTTGGATTTCATTATGTCCCATACTTGGGTCACATAGGCTGGTGTGCTTCTTCCATGTGGACTTAGTTGATCCCTCACTTAACGGGCTGCTTGTTTTAAGACAAGCCTATACGACCCCAGGCATTATTCTTTCTAATAGTTGGGCACCATCTGGTGTCTTCACTATACTTGCTGTAGCACCGTATCTTCAGCGGTCTCTTCATGGGGTAAACACTGAGCAGGGACATGTCACCGGTGACATTAAATACAGGAACTGTGTTAGGCAGCCATCAGGGGGTGTTCGGTGTCAGCCGTTCCATCACCAAAATCAAGCCCACTGCCATTGAGTGGATTCTGACTCAGCGACCTGTGGGGTACCCACCCCCACAATGGAATGGTTGCCAGGGGCGGTTGTGTCATTGAGGGATAAAATTAAAGAGACATCAGACAAGATAAAGCATGTGAGTGCTCACCTCTGGGACGGCCATGATCGCAGCAGCCAGGTCCTTGCAGACAGAGCGACTGTGTTTCCAATCACAGCTTATAGGCACTTCAAGGACGTGCAAGCCCCCCTAATAACATCATGACAGGAAGGGGTTGTACCATAGGCATACGTGCAATAGGAGGGGGACAACCTAGGGGTGTACATGTGACGTGAGAGGCAGACTCTAAAGTCAAGGTGGCCGCCTAACCTTGATCCTCCCTGAGTTGGCTTGACCTTGTCTTTGGGCTCTCCTACAATCCACTATCCTTATCAGCAGGGAGCAGGCCCCACCTAGGGCTGAGTGCTCTAGATGGCTGATAACCCCCAGGGAGATAACCTGTAAGCAGCTGACCTCCAGGTGCCTAGCCATGGACCGTAGCCATGGACCGTGTGTTAGCAAGCAGCACCTTAGGTTTGGCACATCATATGGGGGGGACAACCTGGGGAATAACTTTTCGGTATCCCACAGCGACCCTATAGGACAAGGTAAACTGCCCTGTGGATTTCCCAGGCTATTAGTCTTTACAGGAACAAGCAGCCTCATCTTTTTTCTGCAAGTGGCTGGGGGGCTTCACCAGCCCACTTTGTGCTTAGCAGTCCCACCCTTAAGCCAACTTGCTACCAAGACTCCCTGTGCAGGATGCGTATAAAGCCACCGCCATCGAGTGGATTCTGACTCTTTAACAACCCTGTATGGGAGTTCTGAGACTGAATTTCTCAGGGAGCCAGTAGCCTCAGCTTTCTCCCATGGCCCAGCTAGTGGGTTTGAACTGCCCACTTTGCAGTTAGCAGCTCCCTGCTTAGCTCCCTGCACCATCAGGGCTCCTCAGCAAACACTCAAAGCTTTCCAAACGCTGGTTCTCCTCTCCCCCTCCCTCCTGCCCAGGTAACCACTAGTGCATTGTGGTCCTCCAGCATCTGCTTAGCAGAGATATTTGCTGTAGAGTAGACTCTCGAGGACTCATTAGCCATTTGTGACTGGCTGTTGATAGATTCACAGCAGGGTGCCCACTACTGTTGTGTCCTCCTGAAGCTCTGAGGCTTCGCCCCACACTTTGTAGCTGCTCTCTCCCCCCCTTATATCCCCCACTACCCCCCCCCAAAAACAAAGCACTCCACATCACAAACCTCCTGTGTGATCCCAGGCTTGCCCTCCCCTCTCTGCACCCCCGTTTTCCTTCCATTTAATGGGCCTGGACCCACCTCCTCGCTCCAGTCCCAAGTGGCCTCCCGGGTCTGGTCACTGGCCGGCAGGGACTAGGGGCATGGGGTTAGGGGCAGGTCCCATGCCGGTTGCCTCGCTGTGGGATGACAAGCGTGGGTCTTCCTGTTTCAGACATCGACGAGTGTGCCCTGCCCACCGGGGGCCACATCTGCTCCTACCGCTGCATCAACATCCCCGGAAGCTTCCAGTGCAGCTGCCCCTCGACCGGCTACAGGCTGGCCCCCAATGGCCGCAACTGCCAAGGTGAGTGTGCGGGCTGTTGGGGCCCCGCTGGGATGCTGTGTGCAACCTGCCCGGGGGAGCCACCCAGACTGAGGGGCACTGGGGGACAGGGGTTTTGGGTCCCGCCCCCATCTGGCTCTCACATACCTGCCCCTCTACCAGCTGACCTCTGCTGCCTCCTGGAAGCCAGGGTGGGCTGACAGCTCTTGGGAAGTGGCCGAGTCTTCCTGGGCCTCCTGCCTCCTCACTCAGCCCTTCTGCCAACCCTTACCGTGGGCCTGCAGCTGAGGGAGGAATGTCAAGTCCTAGATGGGGGCAGCCACTCTCCTGAGGGCCCACCACATAGTTTCAGACACCCCATAGGGTGTGGGAACATTAAGCTCAGAGCCTATGTGTAACGGCTGTGAGGGTATGGCCAGCCCCCTCCCCCCCGCCCCCCTGCTCCCACACGGGCTAGCTGAGGGAGGGCTGGGACATCTGACCTGTGCTTGGTGCCCGATTCTGAGGGGGCACGTTGGCCTCCTGTGCCTGTTCGCTGAGACGTCATGAAGGAATGGAAAGTTCCAGAACCATACTGACTCACTGTCCCCGAAACACAGTCGGTCACAGGGGTTGGAGTCACCCAGTCTGTCCCTCATGAGCTCCCTACGTGGACCCTGAGTTCTGCTTCTGTGGGTCCTCGAGAGGGGGCTGTGGTCAAGGGCAGGCAGGGGCTTGTGTAGACCTCCGGTCGGTTTGCTGCATTTGCCTCTCCTGCTCCTGACCAGGGCCTCCTCCCTGTGGGCTCGGGTCTGCGTCCTCTCAGACTCGGCAGGACGCCATCCCCTTGACCTAGGGCATGCTCTTTGTAGCTTCTCTTACCTGGGTATTCCCTGGACCCCACGTCTGCTCCGGGATGTGTGTGAGAGGAGGGATGACTCTCATCCCCTCATGCCCTTGATGGTCTGGCCTGAACGGGCATCCTTCCTACAGACACCGAGTGACTCGCTGCCATTGATTCTGCTCACGGTGACCCCGGCTCATCGGACAGGCTAGAACTGCCTCTGGATTTCCGACGCCATAGCTTTACGGGAGCAGAAAGATCCATCTGTCTCCTGGTTGATAGCGAGGAGGGACTTCAAGAGGCTCATGGAGTGTGTTAGTCTGGGTTGACTAGAAAAACAAATCCAGAGACACTTGTGTGTACGAGAGAGTCCCATATCAAAGAGTAATTGGATATTAAGAAACAGCCCAGTCCAGATCAAGTCCAAAGTCCGATATTAGCCCATATGTCAAATACTAGTCTATAATTTCCTCTTCAGACTCATGAAACATATGCAATGATGCCGAATGCAGGAAAATCACAGGCCAGTGAGTAGAAAAACGGTCTTGTGGATCCAGTGGCAGTGGAAACATCTCCACGTTGTCTTCTCCAGCTCTCTGAGTGGCTCATATGCAAGAAAGGGAAGGCAGACAGAGTGTGCCTGGCCTCTAGTGAGCTGTTTATCTCCATGGCGCCTCCAAATGAGGTCATCAAGCTGCGACCTGATGGACAGGCTAGACTCCACCCCTTCGCTCAAGTTGACGAGATGATGTCACCGCCACATGGGGAAATGCCATTATCCTTCCATCACATTTCCCACGATATTTTTGAAGGCCTCTTCGGGCCTCCATTCTCTCACCTGTAATTTGGGGCAAGCCCTGACAGGTCAGATGCGGGCGTGAAGAAGGGAAGGAGGGGCTGGTCGTTTGGGGCTGTACCGGGCGCCAGCCTGTCTGGCTGTGCCACTTACGACATGGGTGCCCTTAGGCAGATGTCTTAGCATCTCCCAAAGGGTGTCAGAAGACCACTGGCCTCAGGAATTGTGAGGACGACGTGGGTCAGTCAAGGAATGTGAATACTAAGTCCGTGTTGTCGGGGGCTTCGGGTGGGTTCCTGCTCACAGACACAGACAACCCCCCCCACCCCCCGCACGGAATGGAACCAACACCACGGGGCCTGGTCCCACGCACGCCATCTTCTCAGTTATGTTTGAGCCCCTCATTGCAGGCCCCTCATGAAGGGCCTTCCTCTCCTCCGCTGCCCCTCTACTTTACCAAGCATGACGTCCTTCCCCAGGGACCGGTCTCTCCTCGCCGACAGTCTGTCCAGACTCCATCCCATCAACATCAATGCCCTTGAACCAAAGGGCTGGCCAGGGCAGAGCAGTTCCTGAAGGGCCTGCTTGGTGGGTGGTCGGGCTGCCTGCGTCTGCCTTTTGGAAGCTTCCTGAGCCCCAGCCTCTGGTTGTTTGCAGACATTGATGAGTGCGTGACCGGCATCCACAACTGCTCGGTCAACGAGACCTGCTTCAACATCCAGGGCGGCTTCCGCTGCCTCTCCTTCACCTGCCCTGCCAACTACCGCCGCTCCACAGACACGTAAGTCCCTCGGTCTCAGGCTTGATGCTCTGTGGGGCCTTTCTGGGGGCCCAGCCCCGAGCCCCCTCTGAGGTCTGAGCAGTGGAAGATCTGTGCTTCTAGTCTCAGACCCCTCAGGCTAACGAGGTTGCGCCTCGGAATCAGGTCAGTGGGCTCACCCACAGGCAGCCCCCTTTCCTCCCCAGTGAGACAAGAGAGAGGTTGGAGTGGGGGCTATCTCCCTGGCTGAGCCCGCAGTGGTGGCACCCTCCCTGTTGGACAGCCATGTGCCTGTGGGCCCACGTGGCCTGCCAGGGCAGTACTCTCAAGAGACCCAGCCTGGCCACTTCCTCTCTCTCTCACCTCCTACTGTGTGGCTTGTGTCTCTGTATACCTATTCTCCCCAGGCCTTGGGGTGGCCTGTGGGGGTGCCTCGAGCCCCTTCCTCAGGGGAGCCTGCAGGCCTGGTCTTCACCATGGCACCCTGCCCCTAGATGACCCCAGCCAGCTCCAGGGGTGACCCGGGTCAGGAGTGTGGCTTGTGACCCCATTGGCCCAGCACGGAAAGTTCCCCCAGCAACTGAGAGGGAGCATGGAGCCAGGTGTCACGTGTCCAGGGTCTCCCGTGTGTGTCGTCTCTCAGACTCTCAGTGGCTCTGTTACCTGCTGAAGTCAGTGTCCGACCCTGACGGGGAGCCAGGCTGGCCCTGCCCGAGGTGTCCCTGCTCAGCCGAGCGGTGACTGCCCGGGCTTGGCCTGGCTTCCAGTGCTCAGATATCTCTGGTCTCCCCTGCAACCTGTGTCTTCTGTCCAACTCTAGGGGTGCTGGCTGCTGGCCTTCACCACCCCCTGGGCCTGCGGGTTCCTCCGGCAACATCTCTTTCTGGTTGAAAAGCCCCCCCCCCCCACACACACACACACGGCTTCCTTCCGGGCCTGGCTGTGCCCGGGTCTGCTGTAGGCAGCATACCAAGCAGCCCGTGGGCCACACAGTTCCCAGTGGGCAGTGATGGGGGTGCTCGGAGTCACTGAGAGGCCACGTGGCATTTGGTCACAGGCACTAGCTTGTCCACTCACTGACCTTTGGTGTCCCGAAGCCCTGGGTGCCTGGAGGATGAGTCATTGTGTCTGATTTGGAATTTAGATCCGCCCGGAGACCCACATAGGAGAGGGAAGCCCTGGTGCTGTGTCTGTACCCACCTCCTCCCAAGTCCGAGGTAGCAGAACCAACTCTACCCACACTGCCTCATGCCTCCTGGTGCTGTGGGGGCCTTCTCACACACACGCGTGTGTGTACACACACACACACACACACACACACTGCTGGGAAAGCATTTACTTGTTCCGGAGAGTTCACCAAGGGCCTACTGTGTGCATGCCCCCGTCCCTGGCTCGGAGCACAACAGGTAGTGACCCGGGAGTTAGTTCTAGAATGCTCAGCTGGGGGGCGCTGGAAGTGAGGTGTGGGGAGGGTGGAAGGACTGGCCTGGGGTGTGGGCCCAGGGTATTAGTGGAGAAGAAAAGGTCCCAGCAGTGAGGGGGGTGGAGCAGGCAGGAAGGGGGTGTGTGGACACAGTGGGGGGTGGGGGGGCAAACCTGAGCGTTGTATTTCTGTCCGGGAGGTGGCCCATAAGTGTCAGGTCTTGCGTGCCCCCGGTGCTCCAGTTTCATCAGCCTTCCCCCTTGGCCCATGTGAAGCGAGGATTCTGATAAGGGCAAGGTGGAAGTTGGGCACAGCCCCTGGTCCCAGCCGTGTCCCCTTGCCATCTGACGGTGTCTTTGTTCAGAGTAGCCCTGGTGGAAGCCCTTGAGCTGCTAACTGCAAGGTCAGCAGTGGGAAACTACCACCAGCTCATCGGGAGAAAGACGAGGCTTTCTACCCCACAGGAAACTCACAGGGGCAGTTCTACCCTGACCTAGAGGGTCGCTGGGAGTCACATGACCAGAAAGCAGTGGTTTGGGTTATGAACGGCTGCTCACAGGTGCCACCCAGTGGCCAGCGGTGAGCAGAGGCCGGGAAGTGGGCTGGAGCCAGAGAGGGGGTGAGGTTCTGACCAAGCACTGGGGCTTGCCCTGGTGTTCTGGAAAGGGAGGCTTCGGGGTGTCAGTCAGTCAGTCGGCGTCCCCTCGTGTTGTGTCACTGCTCAGTGTTTTCTTCCTGAGGGCCCTGGTTCCTGACCTGGGGGAGGCGGGGCCCTCCAAGCTCTCTGTGAAGTGATGATTCCTGTGGGGTGACCATGAAGGATAGGGCCCTCTCTGCTGTGTGTCCACGAAGCTCACCCCAGATCCAACAAGCCAGTCTTGGGCTGTGACGGGTCATGACTGGCGCCTGACCCCAGAGGCCGTGCTGGAACAATGATGCTTTTTGTAACGGCTCCCTCGTTCCCTGGGGCCGGGCCTTGGGTGGTGTCCTGGCCCCTCTGGGTCCCTTGCTACCAGATACACCTGGTTTGGAAAGTACTGAGGATTACAGGTTTCAGAGTCTCCTGCAGTGGGTCCCGATGCGTGGCGTCCCCATGTGGTGCATAATGGAACATAATGGTACATAAATCCACATGGGATTTCAGTGGCTGTGAGCTTTACAGAAGCCGGTGGCCAGGCCTTTCTTCCTAGTCTGTCTTAGTGTGTCAGCTCCACGGAGACCTGTTCAGCATCCGAGCCACGCACGAGCCTCCACTTTCAGACAGCTGGTGGCCGCGCACCATTTTATGCCTTCATCATTTTATTGGGGGCTCTTACAGCTCTTATCACAATCCATCCATCCATCCATCCATCCATCCATCCATCCATCCATCCATCCATCCATCCATCCATCGTGTCAAACATTTTCTTTCTACTTCAGCCCTGGGTATCAGTTCATTTTTTCCCCCTCCCTCACGAACCCTTGATAATTTATAAGTTTTTATTATTTTTTTCATGTCTTACACTGTCCCATGTCTCCCTTCACCCACTTTTCTGTTGCCCATCCCCCTGGGAGGGCGTTATAGATAGATCCTTGTGATTGGTTCCCCTTTCTCCCCCCACCTGGTAACACTACTCTCATGATCGGTCCTGAGGGGTTTATCTGTCCTGGATTCCCTGTGTTTCCAACTCTTATCTGTACCCCTGTACATGCTCTGGTATAGCTGGATTTGTAAGGTAGAGTTGGGATCGTGATAGTTGGTGGGGGTAAGCATTAAAGAACTAGAGGAAAGTTGTATGTTCATCGGTACTACACTGCACCCTGGCTGGCTCGTCTCTTCCTTGTGACGGAGGGCAAGCAGTCTTTTCATGGGACCACTGCTGGCCCCAAAGGCTATGTGACCCATCTTGCTGTGAGTTCTAACCCACAGAGAGCAGAGGAGTTGCCTTGTAATTTGTTTTCATTGTGATTTGGGTGAAGGACCTACAGGGAACACACTGGTCCTCCATCCAGTGGTTCCTTCCTTGGCTCCTATCTCTCCAGAAGGAGGTTGCCTGACCTTCCTTCCGTGGGACCATTGGGTGGGCTGGAACCGCCGGCCTTTATGGTAGTCGAGAGCAAACCATTTGTGCCATCGGGGGGCCTGGATGGAGGTGGTGCCTCTCTACTGGGAGAAACGGAGGTGCGGGGGCGAGGGGAGGATGAGGGGATATCACGCCCACGCACAGGGGTCTCGGGGTCCCTCTGGTAGCAGTGCTCTTGTTTCTTGACCCGCGCCGTGAGGCAGGGAGCCGTCTGAGGCTTGGCGTCCAGGCAGAGGAAGTGGGCCTGGGCCCCTCAGGCTGGTGGTCCCCAGGGGTTTGACTCAGCCGGCAGCATCCCAGTCAGCTGAGGGGGACTGCTCCAGGCTAGGAGTCGCTGACAAGTGACACGGAGGGGGACCAGCCAGCCCTCATGCACTACAGACGCCTCAGACCGGAGGTCTTGACATTTTTATGTGACATCCCTTGTCTTCTCTGAGGACCGTGGGGGGAGCCGACTGGGTGGGGGTTCCAGCTCAGTCCTACTCGCCACCACAAGGGGCGCCGTGAGCCGCGATCCACCGATGGCCCTGGTTTGATTTCGCCTCTGCTTTGTCCTCGGAGGGTCTTGGAGGAGAATGTGTTTTCCCGATTTGGGACGAGGTGTCCAAACCAGAAAGAGCTGTGTTTGGGAGGACAGCGCCCACCAGCTCTGTGGTTACTCAGGAGGTCACAGGACACGCTGGCTCAGGGGGCCCAGACAGGAAGGAGTTAGGGTCTCTGTTTCTTTCCTGCGCTCTCTGCCTCCCTCCTCCTCATCTTCATCCCCATCTCCTCCATCCTAGGCTTCCCTGGGTGAGCCTCTCCTAGGCCTGCAGCTTCTTCTTCTCCCCCCTGTCAGGGTCAGATGCGTCAGGCCCGGCCTCCCCCACGCAGCAAGCCTCCTAGGATCCGGACCACGCGCCTCCCTCCCACCCCCACAGGGGTCTCCTCAGCTGCCAGCGCCCACCGTGGGATGGACGCATCCTCTGGATCGGCAGAACCTTGACCATTTCCTCCCCTAGGGGGGATGACTTTTGGCCTGAGGGTGTGACGGAACGGGTGGACAGACAGGGTCGGGCCCTTGTTGTCCCCTTTGCTTTGGCCAGTCTCTGGGCCTGGTTTCCAGAATGACAAGAGCAATGGACTCAGAGACGCCCAACAGAGAGAAGTGCAGACGGCCGGTGTGGCCAAGACAGCAGGTGCGTCAGGTCGAGGACCCGGAAGGCCCGTGGTTGCTGGTCACTGGTTCTGTCTGTGACTCTGTGTTCATGGGACTTGGGGTGTCCTGATCGAGGGTGTGGAGCTGAGACATCAGGGCACGGCTATTGTTGAGTGTGTAGCCCTGGCTAACACCCGCCGTGTGCAGAACCCAGGGTGCATGCCCTCTGGAGCCTGGGTGACCAGGGTGCTGGTGCCCAGCCTGTGAACCAGATTGGACGAGACGACCCGTCCCCATCCTGACCGAGACGGACCAAGGGGTATGTGCTGTGCCCCTCTGTCAGGCAGCCGGTCACATGCAGTGGTTTAAGCTCCGGTGTTATCAATTCTGGAATGTT